GATCTTACTTCACGTGGAAAGTCGCAAACCCATGTGGAACAGTACAACAAAGCATGCACTTCCACCGTTGTACTGTTCCACATGGGTTTGCGACTTTCCACGTGAAGCAAGATCCGCCCCACACCTCGGACATAGTTTGGGTAGGGTTATATTTTAACGAGGTGGAGCCCCCCCGCAGGGGGGGGGGCGGAACATACAGTCTCCATGCATGTTGTACTTCCATGACGTACGACAGATGGAGATGGGAGGACAGATATGGAAGAACAGTACAACAAAGCATCTAATAAAAAAATGTCGAGGCTATGATAGTTTTTAAATAATAAGCGATTATATTTCACAAATGACAGGTCTGAGATTTCGCGCGCTCAGGCGACATGACGAGTGATGAAAGTGTTTCTATATGTTTCGCGAGCGAGCGAGAACTAAAGTCACCGTTTAACGGGACAGTAAATTATTTGGGACGACGGTGATCCGGTTATTTCGAAAACTTGAGGATAAAGAGAGGCAGGAGACTAGATTGAATCTAACTGAAAATTCGAAGTTCACTCACTAAAACCTTCTGAAGGTCATTCGGGGTGCATATTTTTCGGGCTCCCCCGATTGATTATCACTGTGGGAGACACAACAAAGGTTTTTACCAAGAAAACCGCAAGAAAACATCAAAATTCGGAAAAGGCCCTATTCTGTAGAATTATCATAATTTCATCACATAACACAGTATAGAACAAAGATTGCATCAGATTTATGCAGCCGCTTGTTTTGCAACTTCTCACTGTAATTTTAATGACATTTTCCGTCGCATTCCATTTAGAAATCCTTAATAAAACTCCAGAGAAATGGGAAAAAACTTGGGACACGAAGCAAAATCTGTTTTAAGTCGACAGACTCAACTGCCGAATGTCACGAATTTCTCCCTCGGAGGCAATGATGCAATCTCTGAAAGGGGAGAAACCTATCGTCCAACTTCCGTCGATTGTTTTTTCTTTTGTCACCGAGGAGAGAGAGAGAGAATGTGTAGCGATTGTTTTACATACCTATTAAACCTCACTAAGGAAAAGTTTTTTTTGTGTGTGTTAAACGGAAATTGTTACTTGGGGACTTCTCTCTTCAGGACAGAGTGGCGCGCGTTCGGAGATGCCCGCGTGTACTACGTGCGCGGATGTGTGCGCGTTACATAGATATATGCCCCTTTCCTCGAGAAGTCTGACAGATGCGGGTGCGTGTGATGTTATGACACATTGCGCTAGAACAAACAGTGCCAATGTCAGCGCAGATAAGGCGCGCGGACGCGGCGACGTCCTCGCGAGGGACGCGCGCGGTTCCCGTCGATCTCGCGAGAGAGAGAGAACCGTGAGGGGACGAGACCGATGGACCGAGACCTTACGACGAACAGCTGTTTCGAAAGTAAAAGTGACAGGGAAGAGAAGAAAAACTCGCGCGACGCGCTTCCTCGCGCGGCCAACGACTGGGCCTCTACACTCACCGCATCTTTCGGATTTCCCGTTCCCGGCTCAAAAGTCGCGGCCGTCCCGTCGCGATCGTGCGTTCAGCTTGGTGGCGCCGTCCAAGTCGCAAGACATGATAAAAGCGAGTGAAACCTCGTCGCGACTTTCCTCCTTTTCTCCTTCCTCCGTGCAACTGGGTCACGAACTGTCTGTCATGTTCCGACCGGCCGCGAACGCCGGAGCGCGTAGAACGGAAACTCGTTGCGCGAATAGCCAGCCGACGATGGCCGGCGGAATTCTGACGTCCAATAGGAGAACGGCATTTCGTAGGGACTTCGGCTCGCGATCACGCGTTTCCCTAAGAAACACGTCTTGCTATTGGCGGAGAGAGGCCAGAGAGTGGAGACGTGCAGGACGTGCTTGCGTTTTAAATGGAACTCGTCCCTCGATTCGTGCGGAACATGGAGGAAAGAATAAAGCGGGGAGCACACATCTTTGCATAAGTATATATACATAACGAATTTGATTGGTCTAGAAGCAAATGCATAAGGAAATGGACCAATCAAATCGTTATGCATATGCTTATGCATATTACGAAGAGTTCAATAAAATACATATAATAATAATTTACTTCGATGTAATTTTAAATTGCACCTAATTTGCTATTTTCATGTACCGCTATTTTGCACAGTCATCGTAAAATAATGGCAATTACGTTGTCGTTGTGACGTCTTGACGCTCTTCCGTTGACTCCTCTGGCTTTTCCTCGTCGTCCGATTGCGATTCTTCTACGGCAACGACGTCCGGGAAGTATAATTTCGACTCCTCGATAGCCTTCTCCGGATTTTCGCTCACGTGGAAAGGTCCGATCCCGGCGAAACCCAAAAATGCCTCGCAACCTACTTTCTTTGCAGTACAGACGAATATTTCGTAACTGCAAACCAAAAGTGATTTAGCGCGCTCGAGTAAAACTGCACTTTCTCTTTGCAGAATATGAAACAAAATTCAATTCGATGCAACATTTATACAACCACTTTTTCAGAACTTAAGATTATTCAATTCTATGACCGAAAAATTAATAAAAATATGCAATTTAAAAACAGAAACATATCTATCCTTTTCAGCATTTCAATAATTCACACATAATTATTTAAAAAATGTCAATAGATTGATTTCAGTGGTAAAATGTAAATTGTCTGAAGCTCTGGAAAAAACAAGTTGTATCACTCAATTTTTAGATTAAAACAGAGGAATACCCCGTTTTTTCTTCCGTGCACATCTCGAATGCTTCTATACTTTTAGCAATCATCTTAGCCTCAGGTGGTTTATCGTATTCAAATATACCAAAATTGATGACGTCATCGTCGAACATCTCCAGAACCATTTTTAAATCATTTTTACGCGTATAATCGTACTTGAAGACGGTTATTGGCACTTTTGCCATCTTATCTTCATACTGTGAATTAAATTAACAAATGATATAATTAAATTATAATTAAGAAACTGAAAATCTCTCAAAGACATAATACTATTGAATCACGGGGAATTGTAATTAGAGAGAGATTATTCTATTTTATACATGTATAATGACTCTGTTTATTTCTCGACAATTCGAGTCTTTCAAAAGTCCCCAAAAAATTATCGAATTTTATGAACGCGAGAGATGTTCCTTACGTACACTTACCGGATACGTTGTGTTAGTGTAAACGGTAAATATCGTGCGGAAAACAACTGCCTTGTTCCTAGGATTCGGTGGTGTCCAAACAAAAGGAAACTTCTTATTTTCTTTATCAGGGACTTCGAAAGCTGGACAATGTTTTCCGGCATAGCTGCATAAAGCAATGATTAATTTTAAAAACATGAACAATTAAAAATAATTGTATTGCTACGAATAATGTCATCGTCAATTGTCAATAATACTATCGTCAGCATTACTTTGATTGCAGGATAATATTGTAACGTCAATTATTTATTTAGATTTTTAATTTGTATGCACCAATTAGCTGTAACTCCTATCTATTTGCGTCACAAACTATATTAAAGGTGCACGCGTACCATTCTTCATTTAAACAGTCTTCCGACTCCGGTAACGTCGATTCGTTGAACAGGATATTGCAGAGATGATTATGAACGTCAAGATCCTTTCGCCCTTCGACAATCTTCAATCGAATAAACATACATTTGCCGTCGAAGAGTAATTGCTTGCTGTTTTCCGAGAAGCTGTACGTGGACTGCACATTAAATAAAATCTAGCATGGTAAATTTTTCCCAATATTGATACAACGAGCCTATTTTACACTAAAGGGAATTATATAATACTTCATCGAGCATTTGCTGGAGCAGATCCTTATTCATTCGTTTGCGTAGCTCTTGTTCGACCATGTAATTCTCCGGTAGCAATTCCTCAATTAGTTCCACGTATGGTGGACTCGACCTCTTATCTCTTCTACGCCCCTCCTCATCCTTGAATATCCAAGGAAACAGCAGCAGACAAGTCTCGTTGCGTAACGATGTAGTCAGATGCAGCATCTCCGCCTCGTATCTCGCCTTAGCTTCAGCCACTACATAATTTTGTTGCATCAAACAATAAATGTAGCTCCGTGTAATTTCCAATTTGACTTACATGTTCACACTTTTATCTCGGAAGTAACTAAAAGAGGTTCGAGCGTTTTGTGTGGTAATATATTTTACCTTTTCGAGATTTTCTCGCTGTTTCTTTAGCTATTTTCGCTTCCTCCTGGATTTTCAGTCGTACTATCTCTTCCGGACTCTTCTCGAAAACATTTAACGAAAATCTGCATTTTAAACAAAAGAGAAAATGTTTTAAAAATCTAAATATCTACAAAGTAACGAATCTGCTATTTGGAACATTTAGGACATATTGTGAGGAAGCGCGTTTCAAAATCCAAGTTCTCGGTTACGAAGATAAATGCACCATTGAAGAATAGCATCTGTCCGTTTCCATGCTCTCTGTCCAAAATTTCTCACAGACTGCTGCAGCATGTTTAAACTATTTTAAACTCTCGACTGTGCTAGTAACAGCAAGACAGCCTATGTGCGTGAAACATAAACCTCGCAAATAATTTTTTAGCAGTGCGATTACACGGGAGATTAACACACTCCACTTTAAATACGTGTTTCAAAGATAAAAGTTAAACAAAAAATAAGTTTAGAGTTTTTTAAATTCGAAAGTAACAAAACATTTTTATTCTACAATGTAGCGAATCGTACAACTAACTATAAGATACACGACTTCGACCAATACTTCACAAATGAATTCTTTAATCGATACGAAGCTGACTTGTCATTACATAAAATGTCGAGATACCAGCGGATTTTATATTATAACTGATTAAAAATAGTGAGCTGCAAACTTTCACGTGAAAAGCATCATCGATCGTTTCAACTCACTCGTGTTCGTCGCCCTTTTGAACCCTTTCGAGCTCGGTCGTCAGCATTTTCACGAACTGCGGGCAATGCGCCCCGAACATTAAATTTATCATTCGGCCTTCCTGCGAAAAACCCAAATTCTCAACTGCAATAATTATTTCTATGCGCAGCATGAGTCACGTATTGGACATCTTACATGAATAAACATCCATGTTGGTTCGCTCTTTCCTTGAAATCTCTTCAAGTCGGTAACACGATCACAACTCGCCTAGAAATAAGGCAACAGAATGCAGTGCTGAAAATACTTTTACTGATACATCTATATATTGAAAATTTATTCAATATTATTTCTATATTATTCTATGTATATAGATAAGTTCTACATCTAAATTTCTCTACTTGGGTATTATTTATTACTCTTACTTATTCTTATGATTTAACAATAATCCTTTTTAATCCGTTTTTTTGTTACAATTACCGTGGCGTAACTCAGTGCGTCGCCTCCGATCTCCATCTTTATCTTCTTCAGAATGCTCACCATGCCTGTGCAAGGACCACTCCAATCCGAGTACACGTCCACCACTGGAATATTGCACGGAAAATATCTTCTTTTATAACGCAATAATCAAGGAGGTGCTGGCTATCCGTGTACTGTGTAAGGAAATTTGTAAAATCCACTTGCCTACTAAACCCTTCCGTTGCAGTACCTTCGCCCATTCCTCGTCGTTAATAACTTCCGTTTGCAGTGCCGCGGGTGCCACTTTTTTCGCCATTCTTCTCGTCGTCTTCGTTCCACCCTAAGACAGAAATTAATTAATTGTATTCCTTAGAATTTGTCGATAACATTTTTCAGTTTGCCTTCACACAATCGCACACGAAGAGAATGTTCTCTTAAAATTCACCCTTGAAAATTATAATCGCGAGACAACATGGCATTTTGAAGAACTGTATGAGAGTTTTTTTGAAATTTTACCATACTATATTTTACTAGTAAAACGTATACTAGGTATAATTATTAGTATGGTAAAATTTCAAAAAACTCTCAGCAAATTCTTTGAAATGTCATGTTGTCCGGCGATCACATGATTTCCAGGATAAATTTCAAGAAACATTTCTCCCCGGGCATCGTCCCGTGAAAATTTAGTGTGAAAAAATTCTGAAACTAAAGCGACCCTTATTTTATTTTTTATATTATACAAAATTATCGGATGCTTTTTTTTAAACCCTACACTCGAACTCTACCCTTTTTTTGCGCAACATCTTCGAAACTATGCCGATCTCGTCGGTCACGATTACGGAACGCGGTTTTCCTTTTCCACGCGAAGGGCAAAAATTTCGATTTCGAAGTAATTGAAGGAAGTGTCTTCAGCGAAGTGGAGAGAAGTACTGCGTTAATCGCGTACATTTTCTGTTTGCACAGGCTCGGCTTTCGGGCTTCCTTTCGGCTGCACGGGGACATCGGCGACATGGTAGGCACGCGATATAATATAATGATTAACGAGCTCATGATACAAATACACGCATAGGTAATTACGGTGCAGGAAATCCGAGACTTCCCGCCAAGTTCTTGTACATAATCGCCTGTCATGAGACATTAACCCGAATATGTCTTAAGAAAGAAGCTCATTCCTTAAGAAAGAACGACAGTAATGTCTCGAGTCGCGAAATCCATTGACATTCAATATCTCTTTGTCGTCTTCTTTAAAAATAGAGGCGGATTTTCCTAGCAGTCTTACGGTCAACCATTTTATTCAACAACTAAAATGTTGTGATACAACGAAATTATTTTTTCAATATTATGTTAAATCACCGAGTCTATTTTATAAAAAGCAAACAAACCTCTTTGCAACTTTTACTTTTCATAAATTTCTAAATTGTACGGGAGAATCTAATTAATTTGCAACGTCATTTTGTTTGCTTCTTATTTTACGTTGGTGATTAGTTTGGTTTTTTAAGAGCTAGCACATGACGTGGTGTGAGCGAAATAATGCACAATTGTAGCCTTAGAAAACTATAGATGTATCACGTACTAAAAAAAATATTATATTTTTGTAAGCTACTGTACTATATTATGTATCTGAATAACGGATACATAATAACAGATATGATTAATAGCTCGAGTTGTATATACGACAAGAAAATTACAGGGGACACACGGAGTCGTTCCGACTCGAACCCCCAAGGTGCACGGAAGGATTAATCTTTAACCCAAATTCGCTCGTAGTCATCGCAATCGATGCTAAGCAGCCAAGGGCGGAGCCGTAGGCACTCCTTTCGTTAAAAATGCACTCTTTCAAAAGCAGGCGTTTGACCATCCGAACAAAAATCTTAAGTTTCATCGGCCGTGGAATACGGCGATGTGTCCCGGCAGTATCGTGTTTTCAGAGTCTCGTTGACGAAGGAATCGATTGCGTGCTACGACGGGATTCTTCCTTGACAATTAGGACTCTCCCTGACAATGCTCGGCTCAACAATTAAAGCACGACTTACACATCAATAAGTAGTCACGAACTTTGTTGACTTCTATCCGTTTCTTGGTTGCCACGTAACGATTATAATAGTTGGGGCTGGCTTAGCGCCGGATTTAGTTTCCGCAGCTTGACATGCACATACGCGAGTCCTGAAAAATTACAAGAATACTGCGTATTTATGGAAGCTGATAAATTTTCTCTTTTAAATAATAAATAGAAGAAATGCCTGCACGCGTTTACGTGCAATAATTTATTTTAAGCATGGAACTGTTAATACGAAATACACGTGACTTTAATAACTGAGGTATTTCATGTTACAATTGGTTTAATGTCCAAACAATAACGTAAGCGCTTAAGACTGTCGTCAGTCGTAGACGTAAGGCAAGGCAGAGAAATACACGAGACTTTCACGAAGTGAGTTAAGTTTTTCTCTGCCTTGCCTTGCGACATACGTCTACGACAATTCTTTGTGCATTGACTTTCATTGTTGCTCAAGCCCTTAAGCGCTTACAGATTCTCTGCCCTCAGCCTAAGAGCCTGAGCAGAATTGCTGTCTTATACTCTTAAAGACAGCCTTAAGACAATGTTTTATGTTTTAAACCTTTGTCTTGAGGTACTCTTTAAAGTTTTGGAGTGAAAATAGAACCATGGAGTGAAATATTCGCTCTAATAGAGTAAATATATTTGCTCCAATAGAGAGAATATTTCACTCCATTGTTCTATTATCACTCCAAAAACTTTAGAGAGTAACGCACAATAATTGTCTTATGTCTTAAGAGTACAAGACAGCCATTCTGCTCAGGCCCTTATTGTGCGTTACTTTAGGACAAAGATTTAAGACATAAAGCGTTGTCTTGAGAGTACAAGACAGCCATTCTGCTCGGGCCCTTATTGTGCGTTACTTTAAGACAAAGATTTAAGACATAAAACATTGTCTTAGGCCCAGTCTACAATGGGTTGTTAATCGGAAGTCAGAACTATAATATATGTCGGTCCTTTTTCTTGCACCCAGAAAGGAAAAGGATCAACATATGGTTCCGACTTCTGACTAACGACTAACAACTCATTGTAGACCAGGCCTTAAGGGGATGCTGGAGTGATTCTGCACTTTTGGCACCTTTTGCTCCTAGAACTGTCAATTCATGAAGACATTTGTGTAATACACGATACGACAATTATAAGGCTTGCGCGTACAAATCAAAAGTGTTCCACTATTCCGACTAAATCAAAGAACAGCATAGTATCGTTGAAATTAAGTTTAAAAGTCAAAAAGGAATGCAACCTGCAACTTATTCGAGTGAGTAGATTTTTGTTAGGCTTCTAAACTTAATTTTAAAAAACAATAGAAGCCATACTGCTCAGGCCCATCGAGAATTGTCTTGAGGATTCTTACAAGATTTCTTCGCGAAATGTAAACACTGTGTGTTACCATAGCCGGTTTGAGTTTACGGTGCGACTTCTCATCGCTAGATGGCACCGGTATGCAATTTAAAATACCGCGCAACACACGTCTCGGAGCATCTCAAGATATTTCGGATCTCGATTTACTTCCCCGATTAATTTCAAGTCAATTGCACACGAGAATATTGCGCTTCGCAGTAATATTCGGAAGACCGTCGAATTGCGATCGTCGCTTCTCCGCATCGCCGCTCGTCGAATTACACGGCGACTGTTGTATTGTCGAGCTTGATGAAAGCTCGATGAAAGCGAGGCATTGCCGGACTTATTAAGTTCGTATTCAACATTTTAAACATTGAATTGCAATTCTCCTCGATAAATATAATACGCTGTTCGGAAGTGTACGCAGTGATCGTGTTTGCAGTTGCAGAAGTTAGGTTAGGTTTCTAGCATAACAGTGACATTTGTTGTAAATACGCGTGCGCGGCTAATCACGCGATAGATATTAAAAAAATTTCGACGCAGTTTGTAGTTTAACAAAAATGTACCTTTTAGTTAAAAATATATATATATAATTTTTTTCATTAAACCAAACTTAATATTTACAAATAAATGAATATTTCCTTTTAATTATATAAATAATACAAATACTTAATAATTGTGTACTAATTTCTTAATAAGAATGCAATATTGTTTCAAAAGTAAGAATATTTTGTTCTGGTTCGCTCAAAATCTCTAGTAAATTGATAAAAATGTAAGCGACCAATTGAGCTGTCTTTTCACACAAACGAAGAGAATTCAGAGTTGAAGTGTTAAACGACAACGAGCATAGCTTTCATAACGAATATCTTTCTATTTCACAGACATGTTTGGGAAAGAAGCTGTTAAACTCCTAACGGAGCTCGATATGCATGAAGATATTCGACCGTTTAATGTAAGCGTTACATTACAAATATCGTTATATTATATTGCAAACAGGCGCAGTCGTGAAACTCTCTTTCAATTTGCAGGAACAAGTAATGCGACAAGTTTTTGAAGAGATGCAAACACTTTATGAAGCCAATCTGACGGACAGGTACATTTCATGATACGTAGCATTCATGAAGGTTACTGTTAGAAAATTAATACGAGAGATCAAATTTTAAAAAGTAGAGTATTATGCACAATCAATGCCACGCGTATATTATTGTAGTATAATTTAACGAGATAAAATTTGGTTGTCTTCTGATAATAAAAACTGTATTTCATTGACGATTAAAGCTCGGTTTCACCAAACGTCGCTTAACTATCATCTTAGTTTAATTCCTGTTGTCTCTTTTTAAATGCAAAACGAATATAGCCTAAGGACTCTGATAATAAACTATAAAATAGAGAAAGGAAGACAGTAAGAGCAGACGCAGGATGTTAGATGCGGAATACAAAAGTTTGACCATTATGAATATTTTTATACATTGAACTTTTGTACTCTGCATCTAACATCCTGTGTCGGCTGTTCCTGCCTTCCTTTTTCGTTCTCTTTCTAAAGTAACAGTTGAAAAGAGACAAAGAACGAATTAACCTAAGCTTAAAGTTAATCGACGTTGGTGAAACCAGGCCTGAGGCGCAGTTTCACCAAACGTCGCTTAACTTTAATTTTAGTTTCATTCGTGTTTGTCTCTTTCTAAAGTAACGGTTGAAAAGAGGCAAAGAACGAGTTGAGCTGAGCTTTAAGTTAAGCGACGTTGGTGAAACCGGGTCTAAATGTCGATCATAATGAGCTTTTCCCACTTTACGCAGATGTTTCAGCCTTTCCGCGAATGTTTCAGCAACGCTATACAGAACGAAGGCAACACGGCGTTGTTGCCATCGGTGCATTTCCGTCACACGGCTCTGCTGAGAAACAAACGATGCGTGCTGGCGTATCTGTACCACCGGGTCAGACGATTACGGCAGGTGCGCTGGGAATTGGGCAGCATTCTGCCGACCGAGATAACCGCCAACTTGCTGAACGCGGAGATGCAATGGTTTCAAAGTTACAACAAATCTCTAGCCACCTACATGAGATCGATAGGCGATCACGGATTAAATCTGACTATGAACATGAGTCCTCCAAAGACGCTCTACGTTGAGGTAAATTTTTTTCTTCTAAGAATCGTGCGAGGAGACTTGTCCTGCTGTTAGCTGAATTTACAGTCTTCCTGCTTCTTACTCTACATGTATAAATATTTTTGCCCGTGTTTTATAGATTATGGATACAAAATTTTATTTTCGACAGATCGACTTAGAAATGATTTTCAGCAAGCTATCTTTTCGATATATGTGTAACATATATTTTTTTATGAATTTTACATGCATTATACTGCTAATTAAATGATGGTTGTAATGGTTAGACGATGATTTCTTATAGGTAAAGTGTTTAAGTGATTTCGGCAAGTTGGAACTTGATAACGGCGAAGTCATTACACTCAAAAAGAATACGTATCATCTGTTACCAAGGGCCACATGCGAACCACTTATCAGACAAGGCATACTCGAGCACCACATTGCGTGATAATTGCTTGATAAAAAGAAGTCTCCTGATTTCCATTATTTCTTTTATGTGTGTGCTTGTGTGCCACACAACACTGCCAATGCTGCCTTGTACATCTTAATGTTAATTTTCTCTCTCTGTGTGTGTATATATATATGCGATCATCGTATTAAAGAAATAAAACAACCTTTTTTTAAATACCTTTTTTTAATGCAAACTGTGGAGTACAAGTACATATATTATATATTTTTTTATACTTTCGTATCTCTAATTAGTTCTTTTCAATTTTTCAACATTCTTTAATCTCAATAATTTGTACTATTACCGTATTTAGTCTGAATGTGACGTATGGATTAATATGCAATGATAATAATAATACATATAATTTTACTATTTAAGTAATTTATTAGTAATAAATATTGAGGTGAATTTGCAAGTGATTTTATCATTGATCGCCGCTCTCTAACTTTTTACCACGTATCTTTATATCTGAACTGTTATTTAAAGTAAAAATGAATCTATTTTTGAAATTAATTAGAGAATGCAATAATTCACATGTATTGCAGAAGCTTGAAGCTCACAGATACTTCAAATCGTCACCGATTATAATTATTATCAGAACGTTTCTATGGGCATTAAACACCGACGAAGCACAGCGAGAAACTAGGTCACTATATAATATATCAAACAGCAACGAAACAATATTTGCCCAAGAGATTAAAATATGGAGCTGATATAACTTCAACAATTGTGACGATAATAAATCCCCTTTATCCCGTCGACGTACCTTCGAACTTCTCGAATGAAGTAAAGGCAGGTGCTCTTTCTTTCCTTTTATCTATTTACCTTCTCCTTCCATTTTACGAAGTTGCTTAAAATTCCAGCTCGCATGGCTCAGAGAGCAGACAATCCGAAGCAGTTCTTAAGTTGACGGCATACGAATACAATATATGCGTACGTGTGTCACTAATAGCTTACTAGCGGCAGTTTTTCCTCGGCGGCAGTCGACATCTACGACGCGTAGTCGTCGTTTTCGCATTTTTCCTTCTGACTACGAAGGATACAGAGAGAAGGCATCAGCAATTCGCAGTGGACGGACGAAGAAGACATCGCCGTCGACGTACCCTATGCGTAGAGAGCAACGTAAGAACTTCAGCGCCCTATAAATCTGACTTGACATGCTGTTGGACAGTGTCTGGTAATGATAGGTAAGTTACAGTCGTGAGAGTCAGAGAGCTGTCATTCAGAAAGTTTATATATAAAAGAGCTGTGCATGTCAGATCAACTTAATTCAGTTTGTCCAGTGGTGAAAGCACTCATAAAAGTAAAAACTAATGTCCTGTTCCCAGATAAATGTTATTATTATTAGAAAAGCGAGAAATGGGTTTTATATTTGAGATGAAAGTATCGTACCTTGATGAGATCCTTTTTTACATCAAGCGTGAGTCTACGACTCAATAGATTCGGAATAAACGTGGGATTTATTCGATAAAAATTAAAACAGTGAGCTTAATGTCAACTCAACTGGCAAATTTTATTAAATTCGTTACAACGTTTCAACCTTACGTCAGGTCCTTTTCAAGTAACAATACTGCAAATCAACAAAATATAAGAGATTAAAATTATTAATTAGTCATCTAGTGAAAAGATAATAATAAATTAATGAACCAAATAAAAAAACAGGACGAAGTAGACAAGCGAGTCATCGTCATCCGTGAGTTAGTTAATTAATCATCACTGGCGACTATAAGTGACATTTTTCTTTATTCGATAAATTTATACAATCGTAAAATATCAGGAATGTGATTTTCCCAGATGTTTATTTAACGTTTCCGCAAAATAACGTGCGTCATATGATTTATTTTCTTCGGATTTACTGAAAGCAAAGGATGGACGTTCGAGCGAATGTATGCGGTATTGAAATTGCATTTTAATTTAACGCTTAAACGTCTTCCGATTCGCCTGTAAAAATTATATCTTGCATGCTCTATTATTTTTATACGTACATGCAAAAGAAGTGCGGATGCCTTTTGACACCGTGAGCATATTCATTGCTATATACAGTTATTTATACATCGCATAGGGAGAGACATTTTCTTTTAAATTTGGAATCTATAGAAACAATAACTTCTTCCCAATTGTTATTTACAGATAATACCATCTCTTCATTGTTCAATAATTTGCTATTATCTAACACAGTAATTAAGCGAAATCATATATTTTTCTGACCAACAATATATGTTTACACTTATTTATTCTCTATAAACATGTCGATCACTGTTTACCTATGAAAGAAGATATTCAGTAGTTGCATTTACAGAATCAAAATTTAAATGCTTAATTATTGCCTCGCATTCCAAAATATTATCCTCTCCTAACTTCATGTATAGTTTCTTAAACAAGATAAAATTGTATAATATGATTTGCAAAGGTCAAAGTCTGAACACATAAATGTTGATAGTGACCTATCGCTTTCTTTTCAAGAAATCGTTACTCTCATTCACTGGCGATTAGCAGCTTGTGCGAGATAGAAAGTTTTACTGTAGAAAGTTCAGAGACGTATTTCGAAAGGAGCACATCGGGGAAAGATATCACGGACCGTGGCTGAAGAATGCCGGAGAAATGATGTGGTCCTACACCCTTGAGTCAGCGTACTTCCCCAAATTCTATTGTGCCGGTCAGATAATGGTGTCTGTCGCGCGGCGTGAATTTCACGACTCTGCCTTTCTTTCTCCTTACATAATCGCGACGATGATGATCCGGACTTCTCTTGTAAACAACACAAGTACGTAATTTTCCAAGATCAAGATAGCCTGCTATTGCGATATCGCGAAATAAGACAAATCCGTGTAATATCCTTCGGGGTCATGGGCGTCCCAATGGATTCGCATATCGTGGCACATTAATGGCGCGTGTTTCTTGTCTAACAATAGACATTGGCGTATGGCAGTTGATTATTTGAGAAACATTATGATATTCTACTATTGTTGTGCAATAACGAATAGAATTAATTGAATAGAGAATAACTGGTTCGTGTACGGACAAAGTATAAAGATACGTGACTCGAGGCAAATATGAGCGGATGTGCGTGCGCGATAGTACGATTATCTTTCTTTCCTTTATACATTTCTAACGGTTCTTAATCTAACTCCTTGCGCATACAAAGAGCTCCTCGGTTAATGTTTGACCAGCTTTCAACCTATTTCATCAAACATTGATAGATCAAACAATGAAACATTAATTCCAGCTTCGACGCAGCATTACCGCGTCTCTCGAATAATCAACAGTCATAGTGCGTGAATATTCAACGGAAAGCACACGCCCCGAATGTGTTCTCACATGCGTACAATTCATGTTAAGATATTTATGACTTTGGGTATACATATTTATTATGCGGCTACGCAATGTCGCTGGGTTTTCTTGCTTTGTGTATACGCAGCATCATTAATGCCTTAATACGAATTTCAGCACATTTGGGACATGCATGAATTTCCCATGAATCTCTACACTACAGTATTAATGATTCCGAATATATATTTATTTATGAGCCGTTTGCGAATTTGGTTAGGTCGTTATTTTGTCCACTTTATTAAAAGACTGATCTTGATTTAAAAACATGTTCTGTTCCTTGACGCGTCTTTTAATCGAAAGCTACCCTCGGTTTTGTTCATTTTTGCGAAAATCCTGAAAAGTTTTGCAATGAGTGGCCAAATAAGCAGAAATCGTTTGATCACGTATCGAGAAAACAAATTTATCATCTATCGAAACGTGATATTTTTGTGAATTATCAAATATCTGCTCGACAATCTGTGACCGCCGCATATAGTTGAGTCAATATTATTTCGACGTTGTTCTTCTCCATGTGCATCTCTAACATCCTTAGCTCTACTCGTAAAAAAAGCTTAAAAAATCTCGAAACACAGCACTTCTAAGGATTAAAAGCTTAGTAACTGTTAAGATACTTGGCGACGTTGCGTCAATTCCGCTGAGCAAACAATGTCAATTATTTACACATTTTCTATCGTTATCGTAGGTTTTCCCCAGATAATCGGGGCATTGACGTCGGCGAGGGCTACCTGTCCGACAAGGTCGCTCGCAAAATCAAAAAGGAATCTTCACCTTCGTTCCTAATTAATTACTCTTATCTTATCTTAATGTCACTGTAATGCATAGTGATGTTAAACGATAGTATAATAAATTCCGTACGAAGATATTTTATCGCATCTATCGAGAGCTTGACTTCTACACATTTGCACATTTGAGATTCCTCGATGTTACTCGCGATCGATTCCCCCGTTCCTCGAAGGAGTTGAGGCGTTAATAATTTCTGACTTATAAGCGATTGCGGAAATAACGTGCTCGTTTCTCATACAAGATAATCGCAATGCTAATTGTGAGCGCAAAAATAGCGAAAGATTCCACCAATGTTTTCAACAAATCTGTTCCAAATTTTCCGAGGAACCGAGTTCCAGGACACGCGATATTTTTCGAAAAAATTGCGTCACTTCTCACGGGCTACAGAACTAACGTGGAGATGTTTGAAAGAACATTTATTTTAAAAAAGAAGTTGTACTAGTGATTACTTATGACTGATTTCGCTAATGTGCACTATATGAATCACTGATGCTTTCTCACATGAATTGGTGCACGTAACGCCACATTTATACATTTTGCATATGCATACATGGTCTGTCCTTAAAGTAGTCGGACTGAGTCAATTACAAAATATTTATTGACAGAAATAATATATGCGCTCAATATTCTTCAAAGTAGGACCCTTCTGCATCCACACACCGCTGGCAGCGGGATTTCCAGCCCTCATACGCTTCCCTGAAGGCGGCAGCCGGCGACGTACCTGGCCCAACACAATATCGCAACCCTGCCTCAGCCACCCTACAGTCCCAACGTTGCCCCACCAGACTTTTTCCTCTTTCCCCGCCTCAAAACCGCCCTGAAAGGACACCATCACGGCTCGGTGGAAGCGTTACAACAGGCCGTGACGAGAGAGCTCAACAGCATTCCGGCTGCCGCCTTCCAGGAAGCGTATGAGAGCTGGAAATCTCGCTGCCAGCGGTGTGTGGATGCAGAAGGGTCCTACTTTGAAGAATATTGAGCGCAAGTATTATTTCTGTCAATAAATATTTTGTAATTGACTCAGTCCGACTACTTTAAGGACAGACCATGTATAT